TTTTTATAGCCATGTTTTATGTTGACTAGTAAATGACCCAGATCCTGGTCCTGGACTTCTGTGTTAAATGTTGCTCATTTTCTCTTGAAGTGTGATGACAGGTGCTTGGGGCAGCAGGGAGGAAAATAGATTCTGAGAGTTGGGAGTAGAATAACTTTTAAGGCTCACTGTAGGAGAAGACCAGAGTGAACCCAACTTAGGAGCCAAAAGAGGACATGCTGTGGATAAAATACAGACACATACCTGAAGGCCCAGGGTCTGACCAAGCTGCTCGGTGACTCTGTGGCCTGCGTGGCCCCTGGGCCTCAGTGTCCAATGGCAGAAGCAGGAATGCCACAACTCTGCTGAATCCTGAGTGCCTGGCACCACAGTGTACCTAACACAATGGTGTATCTAGTAGTTTCACCTGAGTCCACATTTTTTTACTGGAGCTTGCTTGGTGGTTGGTTTGGGTTTTGAGAATAGGCTTGTAAGTTTGCAAGGCAGCTTACCCCAGGTGAGGTTCTGTAGGGTTTATATCTACCACTCAGGTATTAGAACTCACATTCCATTAATATGCTTTATCAAATGTCTACCTATTCATCTGCTATAATTTGATTTTTTTTTTTTTTTGAGACAGGGTCTTGTTATTTAGTCCAGGCTGCCCTTGAGCTGACTTTGTAGCCCAGGCTGGCCTCAGCCTCTCAGCAACCCTCTTGCCTCGGCCTCAGCCTTCTGAGTGCTGGGATTATAGGCATGTGCTACCACACCAGGCTTATAGTTTGAATTTGGACTGTCCCCCAGAAGCCCCTATGCTAATGGCTTGATTGCCAGCCTGAGGTGCTATTGGAAGGTAGTAAGGCCTTTAACAGGTGACGCCTAGTGGACGAAGTTAGGTCCTTGGTGGGGTGGGGGCGAGGGTGGGGCATGTGTGTTGGGGGGGCTGTCCTTGAATGGGGATATTGAGACCCAAGCCCCTTCCTATTTGTCTCTTTGCCTTTAGCCACCATGAGATGAGAAACTTTGTTCTGCTACATGTTCTCATTGTGACTTTCTGCTTTACTTTGTTCCAAAAGCAATGCAGACAATCAACTGTAGAATGGAACTTCTGAAACTATGAGCTGAAACGAGCCTTTCTTCCTCTTAAGTTGATTGTCTCAGGTATTTTGTCACAGTGATGCAGAGCCCATTAATACACCACCACTTTCTAGTTCCTGCCTAGCAGACACCTCAGTTTGTAATCTCCCTGAAAAGGTTATATATATATATATTTTGGGCCATTTTGTTTTTCCCTGAAATGGCTTATGTCTTCAGGGGTGTGAAATCCTGTTGATATTCTCCCAAGAAACTCTCTTCCAGATTTACATTTAAATCTAGGAGACCTATGGCAACATCTCTTCTAGAACTTACATGCCCACATTCTTTTTACCTACAAGCTTTAGAATTTTTATTTTGGGTAGTGCTGCCTGTCTGTAATCCCAAGACTCTGGGAGGCTGAGACAGGAAGATCATAAGTTTAGACCAAGCCTGGATGATGTGATTTGGCAATACCCTGTCTAAAAATAAAAAATGTAAAAAAGGGCTGGGGGATGCCTTGCAGCCAGGCTGGAAGCCAGGGACACTAAGTGATGGGGACCCTGAGGAGCTTTAAGCCAGCGAGAATGCTCTGGAGGCCTTGGTGTAGCTGGGCTTGGGAACTAGATGCCCATGGAGGTGGAGATGGGCGCATGGCACTGAACACCCCAGGCTTCCCCATCACCCAGGGACTCAGAGGAGACTGGACTTACAGAGTGGGAGAATATTTGGTGGTGTTGCTGCAATAAACCTACCTCTAGTCGTATGAAGTGGCTTGGACATTCTTGTGCTCCACGCCTGTACTTCAGGGGCAGGCGTTTCTCACTGAAGTGGGGGCCACTGTGTTTGCGTCTAGAACTCAGTTTCCATAGTGCAACTGGAGACCTGAGCCACACGTCCTTGATTCATCTGTCTAGTTATGTCATGAGCTCAGAGGGGGATGAGAAGAAAACACCAGGGCATGGTAAAAAGCATCGGGAATATATAGGTCACCATAATAAAGAAAATGCCAAGATGCTGGGAGACAAAAATATTGAGCCAAAGGTGAAGACAGTGCAGGTAAATTTGGCTTTTCAGTGGTGTCCTATAAGATAGTTTTATTGGAAGATAGTTTGCATATTTACTAACACTGCTGATGGCCAATGTTGTGCTGGAGTTTTAGTTTCCCAATACTTTGAAAGAAATGAAACATTTTGGTGTGGATGTACTTTATTTACAAGATCATTGTCGTGTGTGTGTGTGTGTGTGTGTGTGTGTGTGTGTGTGTGTGTGTTTTGGCAGAACCAGGGATTGAACTCAAGCCCTTGTGCTTGCCAGACAAGTGCTTATTCTACTGAGCCATCTCCCCGGCCCCTCTGTCTCAACTTTGTGGGTGTCTGGCTTGTCTTTTGGCCCCTCTTCCATGTCCTGTAATAAAGGATTTCTTTGCTTCCCTTTCACACCAGACAAATGAACCTTACAATCACCATAAACATAAGATGCGCACAGGAAGGAAACCTAAGGGCTGCATTATTTACTTCAAACCTCCCACATTTTCTCCTACCAGGGCGATCCCAGAGGAATTGGGTAAGTTTTACTCTTGCAACCCAAACTGCCCTGCTGCCTCTCCTTCCATCGGTGCAGCTGCTACAGATGTGTTGTGCAATCCAAGATGAGGTGATGTTAAGCTGACTCGGGGCAACACTGCTGGCAGAGATTCCCAGTGGTGGTCGCCAAAAGATGGCAGTTTCCGTCCCATTGTCATGTGTGGTGACTTCAACTCAATTCCTGGTTCTCCACTTTATAGTCTGGTAAAAGAGGGAAAGTTAAATTATGAAGGACTTGCTATAGGAAAGGTATCAGTCTTCACAGGGACCAAGAATTTTATCTTTCAATTTGGCCCCCAAACCTCGGTATCTTGCAAACTGTGTGTATGGTCCACAGCAGGTACCAAATGTAGAAAAGCCAGAGGACACAAATGCAACTGGCAAAAACAGAGCTTCCTTTCTTCCTACCTTCCTTCCTACCTGCCTGCCTGCCTGTTTTTTCTCTTGTATTTAGTACAGGATGTCTACAGGGTCTTATTATGTAGACAGATTCTAATGATTCTCCTGTTTTTCAGCCTCCCAAGTACTGGGATTGCAGGCGTGCGCCACCACGCCCAGTCTCAATTGCCCTCTCAGGGCACTCCAGGGGTGGGGCCGGCACAGCAGGCTAGGGATTGAAACCCCGGCCCCTGAATCTGCCTCAGCAGGCACTTGAATCCACTGAGCTAGCAGGTCAGCCCTTGGATTGTATT